TCTTATTTAAAAAGCACAGCAAAATAACCCTGGCAGGAGATGTTGCCATCATCTATATACAAATGTCTCTTTCTTTCCTGATCCATAATATGCTTTCCTCTGAGTAGTTTGCACTGGATATATCATAGGTTTGTACTACCTGTGATATAACTGTTCATAAAATAAGCAAGAGAAAAATATTCTTTTCCCCACTACTCTGACTGCAGTAATGACCTCCATAGTTTTCAGTTCCAAATCCTTGCTCCAGTGAAAAAATGGTAAAAATTTGCTTTTCCTGTACTTAAGATTGCAGAACAATTTAGCAGAGTCTGCAGTCTGTTCAGCCTCTGGGCTCCTCCTGCACAAAGAAAGAAAGAAAGGAGTCTTTTCTGTTGCTAGAAAGTTTTGTGCTTTGGCCAGCCCTAACACCCTAGCTCATTGCTTTCCTTCCCAAGCTCTAAAAAAAACCCCAAACACTTTCTTCCCTTAGATGCTGGCATAGCTCATTGGCAACCACACTGATGAGATATAAATACTGTGTTAAGCAAGGTTACATATTAAACATGTAACCCTTCTGCCAGGACACTAGTCAGCAGCAAAAAGGGCTGGGCTCAAATTTCAGGGTACCTCATAACCAGGGATCCTGGTTTTCTCTGATAAAAAAGATCCTCAATTTTCGGATTAAAAAAGTAACCCAAAATCCATGTTTTTCCATGACTAAAATGAAACACCACTCACTCAGAGAGATCCCTTCCTAGATAGCTGAAATAATAGCAGCTTTCATACCCAAAACAAAATGTGCACATCTCTATCTAAAGCAAAAGTGGAAAAATGTTGATTCATAATGTTCTGGGAGGGTCTGCAAGCCAGAGAGGCAGCTCAGGTGAAGGAGAGGGAGGAAGAAGAGAAAACTCAGAGAGAGAGTGGTGTTTCATTTTAATCATGGAAAAACATAAATTTTGGTTTACTTTTTTAATCCGAAAATTGGGAATCTTTTTTTTATCAGAGAAAACCAGGATCCCTGGACATCACCCAAGCCTTGTCTAATTATGGAGTGCCACAGTCCAGCTTCTCTCTCACTCATCTGCCTGAAGGATTTTCTGCTTCCTCTGGCCAATGAGGCCAGGTGGCTTTACATATTTTGCCCAGATGTGGGCCCAGATTGCCATGTGCTGAGTGTTTTTTTTCTGCCCAATCCGTTCCTAGATAGTTGATGGCTAATGGTAAGCAGGGGCCATCTTGCCCACACACACACACACACACACACACACACACACACACACACAACCCAGTGTGTGTATGAATGTTACAAATGGAATAACAAGAATGAACCAGAAATGCATTTTATTCAAGAAGGCTGCCTTAATCAATTGCATTGCTTGGTTTAATAATGCTTTGAGTTGAATACAACCTCATTGGGACCATTTCAATTGGATGATTATAGAGGGTCACAAAGCTCTGTTCTGGAAGCAGATAGCTGAAATAATAGCAGCTTTCATACCCAAAACAAAATGTGCACATCTCTATCTAAAGCAAAAGTGGAAAAATGTTGATTCATAATGTTCTGGGAGGGTCTGCAAGCCAGAGAGGCAGCTCAGGTGAAGGAGAGGGAGGAAGAAGAGAAAACTTTACTGCCCTGTGGCTCTGAAAGAAACCAAGACCCCTTCCCCTAAAAAATCAGGACATTGTACATACTTGTGAATCAAAAACCTGTAGCTCTTCTAAACTGGAGTAACTCAACCCAAATTTTGGCAAGTAGTTCCAGTGAAAGATGGTAAATGAATGTTTTCTACCATTGTCCAGAAGGCAAGCTTCATAAACTTCATGGTTTTGTGTTAGAATCACGGTCTCAGTGGCTAGGGACAGACACTACATATAAACCAGTTTAAGTGATCAGAAACTGGTTTAAGCCTGTAACAGAATAGATGTTCAGTGCACATAAACCAGTTCGAAAATAGATGAAACTGGTTTGAAATAAACCTTGTTGAATGTAGTATCAGACTTAACTGATTTGGGTCAAACCAGTTTATGCAATGCCTGTCCCAAACCCATTCCTGGCTTACGTTAAACCACAGTCCTCCAGCATCTTGGCATACTCTCGGGGCTGAGCTGAGCTCTCTGCTCCAGAGCAGGGCTGGTTCTGCCCCTCTGCTCCCTGGCTGGAGCTTCAGAAGAGTCTGCAGGTGTCTGTCTGGCTTTCTCCTGCTCTGCCTGCCCCCACCCAACTCCCTGCTCAAGCAAGGATACCCCACTCCCCTCTGCCTTACACAGACACCTCTCAGCATTAGCTAGCATACCACATGCTGGCTATGGTCTATGCTGTGGGAGACAGGACAAAGGCAGACAGAACAATGTCAACTTAGGGCTTTTTGGAGCTAATCAACATAGAAATGTCCCTCCATTCCTTCCTTGAGAAAAGTTATTTAAGAAGAGCTTGAACAAATGAAAGAGGCTTTGTTTTGTTTGATGGACTGATAAATGCTCTTTTCTCAACTCTCTGTGTAACTCTCTGCTGTGTAACTCAATGCTCTGTTAGCAACAGGGAGGTGGGCGGGGGGCTTCCTAATCAGAGCATACTGCCAGAGCCTGGTCATTCCCCCCCCCCCCCCGCTCAGCACTGAGGAAGGGAAGGGAGGGCTGCTTCAGCATGCACAGCTTCTAGCCTAAGCCACTGCAGGCATGTGCTGGCATTTCTTCAGTCCAAAGGGGATGTCTGTACAGTTACAAACCAATTCAGCCAAGCCAGGTTAGACTAACCTGCAAAGATTGAATCAATTCAGGCTCAGGCTTTTTGAATGCCTGTCCCTAGCCAGTGTCACTCTCACATAACTTCTGTCTTAGTTTGCCCTTTAAGAGTAAAACTTACAAAGGAAATAGCAGAATGTTTGAGTTTGGTTCTGCCACGATTCTCCAGGCTCACTTCCTCAGTCCAACTCCAGCGACATCTATGCCCCAGCTCTAAGCCTTTCTCAGGCAATGGACTAAATTCTCATTCACTGTCACCAGAGGCAGTATGCAAGGCACCCATTTCCCTTTTGCTATGTATTAAGGCTTCTTATTTTCAGCTAAGTACAGACAGGCAAAAACCTCAAGGCTGAATTGATTCAATCTTCACAGGTCAGTCTAAGCTGCATAGATTGAACTGATAAGCAAGTGAACAGACATTCACTGTTGATTCCAGAAACGAAGCCACATGCCTGCAGTGGCCCAGGCCAGATGCCTAGGGCACTACAGTATACCTTCCTCCTTAGATGGAGCAGACAGCTGACATAGGGTATATCCCTACCCCCTTTGACCCTGAAAGTTCTCATACAGCAAATGTGGCCCAAAGAGGCTTACTCCTTCCTTAACTCTAATAATTTTAAAGGATCATTTTAATCAAGCACTGAAAAGGCATATGTATGGGCAGCTGGCCAGGCTGTCTTGGTATATAAAGATCTCAGAAACCTGAAGCTCAAAGGCAAACTTTTTCTAAAGCAGATATTGCCACCATGCACCAAACTCACACAAAGAGGTGGTCTACACTTAAAAGTTCACCAGCATAGCTAGTCATTTTTGAGCATACAAACAGTCACTATAGCTCTACTGCCAGAGATAGGGGGGTGAAAAGGCAGTTATGGCATTTTGCATGGCCTCCAGAGCTGTAAGTTCAAGCCCTGTTCTGGATTTGCAGTGAAGTCGACCCAGCTGTAAAGGTGGAAATCAGAGGTGTCTGACACTTGCCACAGAAATCTTTTGTATGCTGTTGGCTGTCCCTATGAACAGGCATGCTTAAATCATGCTTACATTGTGGTCTGTTTGGCATGGGTAGATCTTTAACTTTGACTCATTAGCAAAGCCTTTGTAGGCTTGAAGTTCAAGATAAGGGACTCCTTCCTCTCCCAGAAAAAAAACAACCCACTGGTAGGGGAAAAAAATCTCCCCAAACCTAAGAAATTCACTACAAGGAGATGTAGGTCCATGTACTGTATTAAGAGAAAGGGGTTGCAACACAGTGGACCTTGACTTCACTAGCAGCAAATGCATATTTTTACCATGGGTTTCAAGTCTAGATCAGACAGGCAGGTTGTAGTATTTGTAGTATGTGTAAAGCTATATGTCACACCTTCCCAGTCCACACCAACTTGCTAGAGAACAAACATTTTTCTCGAGGAAAGAAAAGAAGGAGGCACCAAGGCACTTCAGAGGCCAAGGACAAGCTGAGAACAACCCCACAGACCTGGAGCATTTCTCTCAACATAACTGTCTCTTTTGAAAGGGCAGATGGAACAAAGAGCTGAGAGAAGGGGGTATCTGGACCAACAAAAGTAGTACATTTGCCCAGCACCTCCACTGTCACTCACAAATACACACATCCAAAGCAGGAATACTCCGCTTATAAATAGTCTGTAAATTGCAGGTTACCAAGCACTGTACAATAGCTTTTCAGCTCTTCTTATAGGTTTCCCAGCTCCTGCTGAATCTATTTTTTCCCATTTCTGTTTAATACAAAGTTTACGTCACCTTGATTTAACAGTAGAGCAGTAGTGTAGGCGTAATTACAAATTAATGGGACTGCTCGCAACAATAAGCTCTTTGTCTGGTAATAAATGTGTGCAGGATCACACTCTACTGCTTTTCTTGCACAGCAACAAAATTCCAGAACAGTGTAAGTTATGCTTAACTCAGCCACAGCCTCCATGGAGACACATGGATAATTTTTCTGCTCCTCTGGCAAAGTTACATAAGTACTAAAGAATAATCTCCAAATATCAACAATCTCATCCTTTAGAACTGGATACAATAAGTGTTTTGGCTCTTTTATCATTAGAATCTCTTTCACGCACTAATTTTCTTTGCCTTATGTATCATTTAAAAAGAAACACAGATAAATGAGGCATTTGGCATGTAACTACACATATTCTGCAAAGAAAAAAACAGGTTCTCAATCCAAGCAAGTTTCTACTTGATCATACTCCCTGAAAATCTGCCCATGCAAGTATTTCTGGACACACTTTTAAAACAACAGCCACAAAACTTACTCTGTAAAATGTCCTGAGCGAGGGGAGGTTTAGTTACAGTGCAGGCAGAATCTATTGTCCCATTCTCCATTTCTTCCATTTCAGAACTTCTGCTAGGACTTATCTGTCCTTTCGTTCTTGTTGGCTCTGTTTGGAAGCTTTTTCTCTGAGCAGGAGTGGGAACGATGAAGAAACAATGCACTTGTAGTTTCTCTTTCCTCTTCCTGTGAAGAGTTGAGTTCAACTAAGAAGCTGCCAATTGTAATTTTCTTCCTTCTTCTGACTAGGGGAATTTTTGATTGTTGAAGTAGCCTGTCCCTTGTCTGTTTTGGAGAGAAAAAAATCTTCAGAATGAGGGTCAGTTAAATGGTAGCCAAGGGAATTAGAGAGGGGTAGTCAAGAAGTGATAAAGCACAGTTATTCAGTGCACGCAGCAACTGGAAAAAGATCAAAGGGGAAAAATGGGACATCAAAGATTGAATAGACTGCCTCACTGAGTTTATAGTTTGTGGCACACCCTTGCACTGTGAATTCCCAGCATCCCCATCCAGAAAACTGAAAGTAGTGTAATAACTTGACTTGCAGACCACATGTTTTTACAAACCACACCAGTTTCATTGTCCTCCCTAGTGCTGTTTACTTTTTTTTATCAACAATTTTCCAGGTGCTGTGAAAGGCATAACATGAAAACAGTTTTTTCCCTACAATACAGACACAGACTATACTGTGTCTGTATTGTAGGGCAAAGCAAACCAGAGTTAATGCTTATTCCATGTTTCTAGTCAAAATCCTTTCAAAACTGTTATTGTCACTTCCAACTTAACAGAAATCATCTGCTTTTTGAATCTGGAGAAAATTATTCATTATTATTAATTTTCCATAGGACCTAAGAGCACTAGTCCAGCTAAATAGTTTAATACTAAATTCCAAGGCTAGGGACAGACATTACACATAAACTGGTTTAAGTGATCCAAAACTGGTTTAACTTATAACAGAACAGACACTGAGCGCACATAAACCAGTTTGAAAATGGCTGAAACTGGTTTGAGATAAACCTGGTTGAATGTAGTATCAAACTTAACTGATTTGCGTCAAACCAGTTTATGCAATGTCTGTCCCAGACCCCTTCCTGGTTTAAGTTAAATCAAAGTCCCCCAGCATCCTGGCATGCTCTCTGGGCTGGATAGGGCTCTCTGCTCCAGGGAGCTGGGCTGGCCTGTCCCCTCTGCTCCGTCACTGGAGCTCCGGCAGAGACTTACAGGTATAGCAGTGTCTGCCTGGCTTCCTCTTGCTCACCCATCTCCTCACCATTCACTGTCTTAGCAGGGATCCCTCCCTCCTCTCTCCCACAGCATGGACCATAGCCAACTTGTGGTATTCTAGCTAATGCTGAGAGGTGTCTGTATAAGGCAGACAAGACAAAGGCAGACAGCACAATGCCGGCTGAAGGCTTTTTGGAGCTAATCAACAGGTAGCTGGTAATGTCGCTCCTGAAAATGTTCTGTTCCTTGGAAAAAGTTGTTTAAGATGAGCTTGAACTAATGAACGAGGCTTTGTTTTCTGATGGGGTGCTAAATGCTCTGTTATCAAGGAGGGGGGTGTAACCACTCGCTAATCAGAGCATCCTGCCAGGGCCTGGCCATACCCCCCCTCTGATCAGCACTATGGAAGGGAAAAGAGGGGCCTCAAGCAGAGGCGATGCATAGGGGGTGGACGCAGGTACACATGCACCCCCTGAGTGTGGCAGTGCACCCCCTACAAAAAGGCACCGCCTACACTGTCAGCGGTGCCTGCGGGCAGTCACCACTCGCCACTCCCCCCTCTCCCCCCCGCCAACAGTGCCAGTGGCTGGGGACACGCATCATTCATGTGCTTACGTGCCCCCCCCTGCAGCTTCTAGCCTGAGCCACTGCAGGCATGTGCCTGAAGTTCCTCAGTTCAGAGAGAATGTCTGTCCAGTACAAACCGATTTGTTTTAGCCGTAAGTGGGAGGGGGATTGAGAGAGTGGTCAGGAGTAAAAAGGTAAGAAAGATTTTATTGACTTAACAAACATAAAACTACGTGTTGTATAAAAAAATAACAATGACAGACAATAATAATTCGCATTGGTAATTTATTGGCAGTCTCTTTTGATGCCTGATGTATGACAAGTTTTTTTTTATAAAGCTTAGTGAAGTCAGGCGTCCCCGATCTGCACTGTTTGAGGGATACTGGGTAGGACTCTTGTACTTAGTTTTTGGGCTTTTTGAGATCTATTGGCCTACTGAATCTAGGTCAGTAGCTATTTTTTTTATAATGCTGCATCTTTTTTTGCTAATTTTTGGATGTGCTAGTTAATTTATAATTTTTGAGCTATGCTGTTGACTTACAGCTACTTACATTTTTATATTATGAACTTTTTTATGACTGACTAATAGCAGTACAAGCTTTTGTATTTTTTTATAAGGTTAATTTTAACTGCGTTACTACATACAAGACTTTACTACTTTTAAGGCTTTATTAATTTTATAAGGCCTTACTACATACAAGGCTTTACTAATCTTACAAGGCCTTACTATATAAAAGGCCTTACTAATTTTTTACTTTAATTAAACTTTTAGCGGCATCATGCAGCTTCATACATAAACAAACAACAAAAAACACCTGGTCTAATCCTCACAGAGCGTTCAGCAAGCACCTTTATTACACAGACATAATTTTTAGCTGTCACACTCTACCCTTTGCTTGCTGAAGCAGTGTGATAGCTACAGTTGAGATGTTAAAGCTACATGCACTACATTAGGGAATGAGGAGGGATTTTTAAATGTAACTTGCATAGCATGGACAGATTTACGACAACAATGGTTAAAACACTATTTAGATGTTGCCACTGGGCAATACAAAACACTATGACACTTAAGATGGTCAGCCATGTAGTTGAGGTGATACCTGGTGACATGCGAACAGTGCAAATCACATCGTACCATTTACATGGCATAGGCACGTTAACAGCCAAACTGATGATCCGCCCACCCTCCCAAGCAAGGAGGGCTGAGTTCCTTCCTGAGCTTTGCCTTAAGGCTTTGCAGCTTATCTTTTATCTTATTTTAGTCTTTTAACTGTGGCATGTCTATATTTGATACCCATGAGGTGGGTATCGTAAAGTTGAGAGTTATGGTCTCAGAAGAAATTTCTAGCCATTTTAGGGCAATAGTATGGTTACTTAATTGCAGCAGAGCAACGGCTCCCCTTTTAGTTTTTAAGCAACACGAATTGCACAAAGCCCAAGTGGTACCATTTTTATACAGTAAGTGACCTGGTCCTTCCCAACAAACACGTTGGCCTATTGTTACATATGACACATTAGGTAGTTCGTGTACACAGGTCATGTTAGGTGGGCTGAGAGGCTATCTTTTCTATAGGGTCTTTAATCTAATTAAGGTGTTACTGATTTGAACTAAGGGGATTGTGCTACTTACTGAGGGCCATCTGAGGTAACTATTTCTCATATGGGGCAATACAAATTTTAGTTTCAAAGGCATCTTTTTCTTAGCCCTGTGCTAAGCAAATAAGCAGTGGTCTAGTTTTTATCTTTTATCCCCTACACTAGGAATGAACACTTTCCTTTATCACAGCCTTCCCAAGTGGTAATCTAGATACTTTGATAGGGTACCTTTTTTTAAATGTTGCAGGCATTCTATGATGCTCTAAGCTAGGGGGGTATTCCTTATTTTAACGTTGTTTATTACTTGGGAAAAATGCATGTTTAGTGATAACTGAACTTGCGCTCAATCAGTACTCTACGTTTGATTTTTGTCTCCTCTTAAAGCAGTAGCCTGGGCAAGATGGGCTGTCTTTAATCTTACATTAGTTAGCAATTCGTCAGTGTGCTTCAAAGTTCTTCCCTTGAGCATACTTTCCCTAGTGAGCAGCCCTACTGCCTGTCAGAGATTGGCTACTCCTTTAGTATTTTTCTAGGATTTATCTAAGTTCTATACATTTATAGCCGAGTTAAGTCTGTCTTAAAGATAACCTGGAGCATCTCTTTGTTTGCAGGACCTAACTGTATTTGTGGAACGGAAAATGGTTGGCTATTTTCACCTAAGTAACCCTTCAGCTACACAGGCTCCTGCTGAATGGTTTGGAAAGATAGCTCGGACATACCATTGTTCTGGCCTGAACAATACCTGGGCAGTGAACAATGAAGCATTTAGGAGGGTTGGATTTTCACTTGTGACCGCCACCAGGGTGTAGAGTTATACACGGGCGGTGTCAGGGCCTCCTGAGGGGGAATGGCCAGAGACAATAATGAACACCCCATTCTCTCACAGATCACAGTTTTTCTTCCTTCCTTGGGAACCCATAACTATGCTTCACCTCCTAGAGAGCAAAAGAGTTTTCACTGTTGCTCATGGGGACAATGTTGTACTGGGTTGGTGAAACGGCACAGCCCTGGCAGAATTATAGTACTGATTTGCATTAGGAATCTTACTGGTATAAAAGGATGAGGATAAGTGGTGGAGACTTGCAGATACAGCCTCTTTTTAGTTGTATTAAAGTGGGTACCATTCTACTATGCCTCTGTGTAGGTATGATTTACAAACCATGTAATAACTTTGTTTCAACCTTTAGCACGCCCTCCCACCTGGTGGGCTTCACACTATTGCTGGAGAGTGTTGTCAGCCATAGGAATGGGAGGGGATAGATTTTCCAATAAGCGCAGTGATTTGAGAGGCTGAACAGATGCAGAATGCACTATTGGAGGCACAGACTCAGGGGCATCGAGCTAAATGCGGTTTCCCTCAGGAAGTATGTAACAACATACCCATAAAAGGGCAGAGCTACAACAATTACCTCCCCTCCCACAGTTAGCCATTTTAACCTTCAGGTAGGGAATGTACCCAAGATAATAACTGGTGCCACAGGTGCACTGACAGTTACCACCTTGCCAGTCAACTATTTTGTTTCTTCTACTTAGAGACCAAGATTTTACTTGCTCCAGGGTGATGGGTTTCTTCTAATATTGATACTGCAGCTGGACCATGTGAAGGTCATCTGAGCACGTTTCCGGGGAATGCTCTTTAGGGCCAGGCTACTCTTTTAGATCTTCAGGAGCAAGTTCATTAATATCTGGGTAATAAGAAGGATAGTAGACATGCCCTACCTGGGAAACACAATAAGGCATTAGTAAGAAGAATACAGTTATAACAGTCTACCACTTCATGGTGCTAGCTGATTCAGGCAGGTGAAAGAGCAGGCCTTGTTTTCAATAGGAGGCTCAATTAGGAATGGATATGGCTGCATTTGTGGACAGATCCAAACTGTAGGAACAAGACAACAAGTAGCTTGGCTCCTGTTAGATTCATCTGACTTAAATACCTACCATATATTATGCATACCTTTTACTAATAGTGTCCCCTCTCATTTATCTCCATGAGGCTGTTTCACTACCACCCAATCTCCTGCCTGGAGCTTTCCTGGGTCACCACCCCTAGGTCGCTCTACTGCCAGCTCATGGAAAC